ACCCAAGAGTAATTAAATATCACACTTTTTAGTTACCTAACAGATGTTGTTTCTTAAGCAAATAATTTGATACTGGTTTCTTATTTTCCCAGTGTGATCAGAAAACATTATTTGATGTTAATTCTTTCTAATTAATTGAGGCTTCTTCTATATCTAAGTCTTTGCCAATTTTTGTGTATATTCTATGTGTGCTCAAAAAATGATGCATTCTGTGTTAAAGGTGATGTTCTAAAAACACGTACTTTTTTCAGTTTACTATTTCCATCTATTTCTAGACTTTGCTTTTTGTTCACTTGTTTTACTTTTTGATACAATCTGGGGTGTATGTTAATGCTTTAATCAGTGCACTTAACCTGTTATAATAGTGCTGGTTTCTTTTACTTTATTTATGCATTTCCATTCACCAGACTGTTTTAGGTCAAGTTTTCTAGAAGCAAAACTAAGACAGGGATTCACACCCAAATGATTTATCAGAGGCGAGGTGTCAGGAGAGGGAGAAGGAGGCACACAGAGAGGATGGGGAAACTGGGGATGCCTGAGCTTTCAGATGGAAAGGCGGAAGAATTCTGCCAGGAAAGTTTGTTGGATGTCAGCCCCAACTTTACCTGGCAGCTAAGGTAAACCGGGACCACATTCAACTGGGGGATGCATGTATTTGAAAAATCAATCCAAACATATCTCATTTTAAATTCCCTCTTTTTCATAGGCCTACATGTTTTCTGAAAATTGAAACTACCTTTCTTTCACATGAACAGTATTTTTTTCAAGCACAACTGAGAAGTAGAAGAATAATCAGTGATGTTCTCCTAGAATCCATTAGCAATGTCTGCTTAGTGATTGTTTTTGAGTACTGGGTTCTAAGAGACAGGGCAGGAGGGCAGTGTGTGTGTGTGTGTGTGTGTGTGTGTGTGTTTAATATCTCAACAAGACTCCTGTAGGTATGAGCAGAGACTCTGGGCTCCCTGGCCTTGGGTGTCTGTCCCAGTTCTGCCTCTGAGAAGCTGTGAGCTAGGAAAGTTAGCTAACTCTGTGTAGCCTACAAGTTCTCTAACTCAGGGCCTTTCTTTCCTCAACTAGGAAATAAGAATAGACCAGCGCCCACTTCACAGGGTTGTCATAAGCATGAAAGGTGGTGATGAATATAAGGCCCATGGCTGAGGGTGAGGCCAATGAGTGGCTACAGGCGCCATCATTCCCTGAAGTCCATGCGCCAGGCCATCCATTCAGAACTGTCCATTCAGTCCCACATCCACTGGAGCTGTGGGGTCAACAGACACTTTAATTGTGAGAAAACTCCATCATGCCCTTCCTTACCAGGGGAAGTGCTACAGGTAAGCAGCTCAGCTCCTCCTTTGAAAGATCTCAATGCTGATAACCTAAGAGAAGAAATGACTTAGGCAAGGTCACAAGGTTTTCTAAATTGCAGAGTTGGGGCTGTTGCACATTGAGTCCTCAGAGTTCTTTGTTTCACCTTTTCTGCTTCCATTTGATTCCTCGGCTTAATTTTTTTTTTTTTTTTTTTTTTACAGACTGTCTTGACCCATCCCTTCACCAATTGGAGGTCTTGGCCAGTCCTGGAGGGAGGTGCAGGGCCCAAACGGCACATGCATTTCCTGTCTCTACTCAGAGCGATTCATTTCATACCTTGAAGCCCTGTGTTGGGTTTTTTGGTCACAGACTATCCCCATCTCATAAGTAGCCTCAAGCAACAATTAGTCTTGCATGTGATTTCTGAGTGGAGGGTGGGTTTGGCGAGAACCCTGCAAGCAGTTTGGAAGCAGATGTTGCCTGAGGTGGAGTCACTCATTGTGTTCAGGGGCTGCGAGGAGGGGCTGGAGGGAAAGGGATGCTGTACAACCTGGTGCACGGCCCAGAGCTCTAAATCATGAGCCCCAAAATTGGCGAGCACACGGTGGTCAGAATCCTGACCCAGACATGCCCACACCTTACTCCCCGGGAACTTGAGAATATGGGACCAGACTAGGCAGGTGTGGTAAAGATGATCTAAACATCTTGAAATGGGAGGTTGTCCTGGATGAGCTGGTGGGGGCAATCTCCTCATAGGAGTCCTTAAAAGTGGGGAAGCTTGCCTTACTGTGGGTAGAGTGGAGCCAATAGAGGGCCAGGGAGATGCAGTGATGCCGGCTGTGAAGATGAAGCAGGGGAGCTGTGATCCCAGGAAGGCAGAGGCCTCTGCAAGGTGGAAAAGGTCAGGGAGTGGCTTCTTCCTTAGACCTTCTAGAAGGAATGCCGCTCTGCTACCCTCCTTGATTTTAGCCCAAGGAGATCTGTGTCCTTATCCTTTAACATACTAAGTTGGCCTTGGTGTAAGCCACTGTGTTAACACTCATGAAAATGAATGCAGCCTGACGCCAACCCTGCTTATCTCTAGCCCTTGCTCTTTGGCCATGTCCTTGAATGAGCCTCCATCCTTCATTCTCATTCTGTAAAATGGAGACATAGGCATTTTATAGCCCAAACACTCCAGGCCTGCCAAACCCTTGGAGACTGGGGACATCAGTTTAACGCAGCACACAAATGTGTGCTTGAATCTGCTGCAGTGCAGCCAGCCTCCTCCCGCAAGCCCTCCTGAAGGACAAAACTCTGTCTCCTTGCCCTCTGGAAGCAGCTGGCAGCTTTCCTGCTAGGCCGCAAAGGCCAACTTCAGTGGCAGGGACTCTCCTGTAAGTCAGTTTCATAGGCTCTGCTGCCGGTGGGTGCAACAGGCTCAACCCCCGCCATTCTACAGCAACCCAGGTCCACTGAGAAAGACTGAGTCAGGCCCTGCAAACAACTGTTCTGCGTAAGAGTATTAGGGGGAAAGGATGTCCTGAGCTAATCCCATACAGGCTTTGTGGACGCCACCCCCACTCCAGACCAAAGCCATCAGGACATTGGGAAAGACAAATCCCCTCACCACCAAAGGGAGGGTGGCTGGGACCTGAGGGTGGAGTTGGGCAGCCAGGTTGGATATAAAAAACCAAACACGTGGGCCTTGGGCTCTCTCTGGCTTGCGATCGCTCGCCTCCTGGCTCCACGGCTCCTGGCTGGCGGCCAACTCTGAGAGCGCCATTTGGGATTCCTGATGGGCGGATCGGGTAGGACTCATTTAAAACTTTGTCTCCCACTTTTCTCCCAGAGCTGTACCTTTCCTCACTTGCCCTTCCCTTGTAAATAAACCTTTTATTAACCTTTCGCGTGAGCCTGCAGTAGAGCATTGATAAGTCCTTTTAAGCGCGCGGGTGAGGACCCACAGTCAGGCACCCCGTTTTGTATTGGGGTTGCTCTACAACAAGAGCACTAAGAAATTCGGGTGACTGAGGACTTCCTTTTCTTCCAATCTACTCATTTGGGACAAGTCAGTTGGCATTTCCGGCTCTCAGGTAAGGCCTGAAGGTTTTGAGCTAACAGAGCATCTTTCATGTAGAACTGGCTACGTTTTTCATATTCTGACGACATCTTAGGATTTTTTCGCATCTCAGAGCTGTTCGGCCGTCTCTTTTGCTCTTAGACCGCCACCAGACATTGCAAAGAACATCCTGAGATAGAACCAGTGCCAGAGTCAGTTCCCTCTCTGTGAAAGCTCCTGCTCCCAAGACCCAACCTCACCCCTCAGCCCCTTGCCTGCTCCAAATGATAACTTCTAGGACCGCTGGGAGGTGCCAAAAATCATTACTTCCCCCTTGACAGCTTTGCCCAAGGCTGGTCCCCAAGCAGAAAACACACATAGGGCAGGTGGGTGCTGCAGGCAGCGCAGGGATTTGGAGTCGATGAAGCAGGACCTGCCAGGGCTATTTGGAGCAGCATCTTCTAGAAAACAGCCTCACAGCAGTGACGGAGGCTTCATTCCACGGGAGAGCCTCCTAGGAGGAGCCAGGACACCAAAGGAGCGTGGGGGTGAGAAACTGCAGCCTCTGCTGTGCCCTCACCATCACCTTGGAATGGGCGGGCGGCGGGTGGCGTTTCTAACTGGAGTCCCCGGGGGCTGTTTGCTCGGCCTCTGGCCAACAAGTCCTTGCAGCGCAGGCTGAACCCGTGGGAGCACCACCGGGTTCTCGGAGGCTGAGCGCAAAGACCCTCATCCCCCGTGGAGTTCGTGGACGGGGCCGTGAGGAGCAGCAGCTCTGGCGGATGGAGGCGGCGCAGCCGTGACCTCCAGCGCCTGGACTTGAGGTTGTGCTCGCCCGGCGCAGTGACATGCTCTCCCTGGCAGGGGATCCAGAAGGCGTCCTGAGAATGCAAGAGTGCATTCTGCTTGGGCATTTTCTTTCTTTCAGAAAGAAAAGTTCCAGATTCCCGAATGATGTCTGGACAGGAGGCGTCCGGGCTCTGGAGCAGGAGGAGGTTAAGAGGGGGAAGCTTGGAGCAGAGGCTGGAGCCGACTTCCCGCCGCGGGCCGCGCCTTGCACTGGCCTGATGCCGCCACGAGATGGCAGCATTTCTGAATGTTCCGAGTCCGCCCGCCCGGCCGCCCCTCCCGCAGGAGGATGCCTTGCAGCTGGGTCAGGAACGCGCCCTCCCTCCAGTTAGGAGGATTAAGAGTCCCGACAAGGATGCTCCGTCCTCAGCCAGAGACAGGAAAGAAGAGGGTCAGAGCAGAAGACCTGGGTCTCCGCGGTGAACATTGTTGTGTCAACAAAATCAACCTTGAACCCAATACCTCCTTGGATGTTCGCCTGGGTTGCCTCTCGTCTGATGAATGAATGCGTATTTGGACAGACATGGGTTGTGGGGTGGGGAGGGAGGGACAGAAATCGGGCCGCCCCACGTAGTCCATCCCTGCTGACCTCAGGTCCTGTGGTCTGAACGAATTTATTCTGCAGGGCCTGGCACCAATGTCAGCTCTGGGACCCCTGCCACCACACCCTCACCCGCCTAGATGCCAGCACCAATCATCAATCCCTTCCTGGTGTCTGCCTTATAGATCCTGTGCCCTCATTCATTCATTCATTCATTCATTCGTTCTTTCACTTTTCAATAAATATTTACTCAGCACCTACTATGAGTCGGGTTCAGCTGTGTCCTGGGGATGCAGCCATGACTGTTCTATCAGCAGGGAACTTGCATGTTGCCTAGGGGAGGAGAAAATTAATTAATCACATTTATAAAAGTGCAATACAGAGAGCACACAGGGCACTATGGTGCAGTTTCTGGAGGGCTCTCCCATCTCTCAGCTGCTGGCCTTGGCAGCTTAGCTGAGCTGGGGTTGTCCGTAGAAAGGCCTTGAGGGTTAAAGAGAGAACAGAGTTGGGCATATTGTAAAAGCCAAGGAGAGCTGCCTGCCATTTTGATTACTTACGCAGCTCACAACTCCAGGGCGCGCTTGTCATGGAGCCCACACATACAGTTGATCTCTGCGGCTTGGATCTAACTCTCAGAGGTTCCGCTTCCTTGTCTATAGAAAGGAAACGAGGTAGGGACAGAGTTAAGTATGTAGCTGGTCACTGGTGTCTATCATTATTATTTGATCTAAAAGCCATAATATGGAATCGTTTTGAAAAGATTCTACATATAGTTGAGATCATAAAGTATTTGTCTTTTTTTGTCTAATTAATTTCACTTAGCATGATGCCTTCAAAATCCATTTCAGATTTTATCTTTATGAAATCTGTATATTATACTTTCTTTTTTCCCTACCACTCTCCCTGTGTCCTCTTGCCCCTCCCTCTTCTGATGTCCCCTTGTTTTAAAAGTGTTTAGTGTTATCAGATTTCTTGTTGGAATATTATTCAGCAATCAAAAAAGATGAATTCATGCCATTCACAGCAATGTGGATGAAAATAGAAGGAATTATGCTCAGTGAAATAAGCCAGAAGGAAAAAGAAAAATATCGGATGGCTTCACTTATAGCAGGAATGTAGGGGAGCCAAATTAAGACATCAGTGTAAAAAAAATAATAACAGTACAAAACACAACAAAGCAAAAATGGACAATTATAAATCAGAGACATCCTGCAGGGGAGGAGGAGGGAGAGGGATCAGACGGAGGGAGGGAGGAACATGCACCATGGTGATGGTGCATGGGTACATTGGGGAAGGAAACTCTATGGGGACTACACCTGAGGGGGAAGCAAATATTGTTGAAAAATGAACAAGGATGTAAAAAATAAAAAAAATTTTCTTGTTTTTATTGTTCTGACTTACTTTTCTACACAAAATTCTCTCAAATTCCTTCCATTTTATTGACAGTGACTGTATTCTGGCCTTTCTTCTGGCTGTATAATATTCCATTGTGTGGATATACCACATTTTCTTGATCAAGTCATCAGTCCCGATTGATTTAGGCTGCTTCCATGCCTTAGCTGTTGTAAATGATGTTGCTATGAACATTGAGGAACGTAGGGATTTTTGTGTTGATGGTTTCATATTTTTTAAATATATAATATAGAGTATGATATTAAATGTAAATAAAAAGGCTTAAATCTGCATTTTGGAGTCATAAGTAAAGCCCTAGGGTGCCTGTTAAGGTGTGTGCTGGGCTAAATTAGTAGCCAGTTGTCATCAAGTAACTGCCTCCTCTTCCCCCTACCTGAAGAGGTTGTTGAGCGAGCTCATGCCAGCCAGGAACAGTGCACCCCTCCCACTCTCTCTGAGTTTTCAGGATCCAGTCAGTGCCCATCTCTACAGAACTGGTCAGTCGTGTCATCACAGAGTCAGTCGTTTGTGATAGGAGGGAGGCCATGCTTTCGGGGTAGTGATTTCCCCAGAGGAGGCCACTGAGCCTAATATCTGTCACCTTATGCCTTCCCCAGGACAGACCTGTGGCTCAGCCCCTGTGTGAGTGGACAGACATACAGGTTAAGAAAAGGAAGCCGAGGTCAGACCAGAGACATGTGCCAGAGCTGAGCCTGAAGCCAGGCCAGCCTGACTCCAAAGCCTGAGGTCTTTCTACAGCACGAGGCTGTGTCCACAGGTTTGATGTTACCACTTGTTCCCTGTGCTGAGAGGCCCTTTCAAAATTGGGTCATTTCTGCCCAAATGGGCCACATGTATGCAAATGCAGGTGCTCAAAAATAACTAAGTGGCTAGTCCACCAGCTTATATGATGCTGTGCATTTCTAAACACCCATAACTCCCCTGGCCGAGCTGATGGGTGGGTAGCCCCTACTTGCAGGACAGGCAGTCCTGGGGAGGGCTTTCCAGAATCAAGACCATCTCGTCTGACCTCCAGGAAGAAGGTCTCATCTTTCCTAGACCTGAACTCCATGCAGACCCCTGACAGAAAGGCCATTTTAGGTCTGCATGTGAGAAGGGAAAGAGTAACATCTCCAAAGACGTGCCTCTGCCTGACAGGACAGCAGTGACCTGCAGGGCCAGGGAAGATGAAGGCAGCCCAGAGAATGGGTCCTGGCTTAGTCCTCACCCAAGCTGCTGCCATTGGCTCTTCTTGCCACCTTGTGTTTGGGAGATCCTGGCAGAGCTTGGACTGAAAAATAAAGAAGAAAGTATTACCAGGATGTTTGAGGTTAAAAGTTGGGGTCCCTTGGGTGTCCATTGTGATGCAAAAAGTTCATTTATTCTCTCAACACTTGTCTGACAAGCTGTGGGGAGCATCTGAGGTTTCCATCTCCCTGGCAGCCACTCCCCTTCTCACAAGAATGTGGGGTTTTCCTGTAGGGAGCCAGGCCCTCCCAACTCGCAGTCCTGGCTTTGAACTAGCCTGAGTCCATCTAAATGGGGATGGACTCATGACCAGAGTGACCCCCCTCCTTGTGCCTCATACCCTGGAGGAGCAATCGTTGGTGTGGGTGTGTCTCCTTGACCAGACAGGAGAAACTCAGTTCTGAGGTTTAGCTGGTGTTTGGGGACTCTTCTCGTGGGGCTGCTAAACTGGCAGCCCACCAGCCTGGGATGCTGGGGTCATGCTGCTCCCTCCTGGGGAGAACCACCTGAGGCTGAAGACAGCTGTGAGGGAAAGAGAAGAGATTTTTTTTTTGTTTTTTTTAAAGATTTATTTATTTTTACAAGAACTGGGGTACTGGCCAAAATGTGTGGGAGGGTGAGAGGACCCACCAGAGACAGAGCGGGGAGCAGAACAGGGAGACTGATGAAATACACTGCTGAGGGGAGCAGCGGGCGAGACAGGAGAAGTCTGCTGTGCCATGTGGGTAGCTCTCCCGCTAGCTGGGATCGAACCTGTGCTGCAGAGGCTGTGAACAGTTTCACAGCGCAGCACTCAACCGCCTGTGCCACAAGGGAGGCCCAGAAGAGATGGTTTTGAGTGGCTGAATTCAGTCGTGGACTTCTCCAGCCGTGTGAGATCATATATTTCCTCTGGTGCTTTTGTGAGTTAGAGCTGGCATCTCTTAGGCCTGGAAGTATTCTGTTTAATATAGAAACATTCCCCAAATTTATCAGTGCATTGGGTGCTGAGAACACAATGAAAATTTCATCTAAAATTTGTGACATTGAATATCGGTCGAGATTGTTTTGTGCTGTAGGTATTAAAAATGGAGGAGAAATCACACCACATGTAGAAAAATAAACAAAACTGAACAAATACCCTCAACAGCATCATCTAATTAGCCCCAGAGACCCGCTCCTCTGGAGTCAGAGAGATCTGAGTTTGAATCCTAGCTCAGCCAATTTCTTCAGATAACCACTGTCCTGGGCTCCAGTTTCCTCATCTGCAATGTGGTGATGATAAGAGTAACGGCATCCCTGAGTTGTTAGGGAGGATTATCTGAAATAATAATAAAATCCAGCTTTGTAAGAGTCCTATTAGAGAGGAACTGAGGGCAGAATGATGAAATCCTGTCCAAGATCAGCCAATCAGCAAACAGATGAGCTGGGATTTGAACCCCCACAGAGGTCAGATCTTGCACTCCTGACCACCAGGCTCACTTACCATCGAGGCTAAGATTGGCTGAGTATCTTGCCGAAGGTCATGTTTCAGACTGCGGTACACAGGGTGCATGTGATGGAAACTGACACACAGAAAATGTCAACTAAGGTTAAGGAGAACCCAGAGAAAGGAGCTTGTTAGCCAGCTGGAGTGAGGGCCAGGCCAGGTCTGCAGAATGTGGGGGGTACGGGGGGCTTGTAGGAGACTGTGCCAACCTGGCACATGGGCACATGGCCCTAGTATCTTGCTTCCTTGATCTTTGGTTTCTCACATGCACATCGAGAGGATCAGGATTGTGGGTCTCCAAGGCCCGACCCCCCCCCCCCACACACAGTAATCATCTACTGATCCAGGGTTTAGAGCCATTTCTCACAACCTGAGGACATCAAGGTCATGTGAGCACCGTCCAGGTGTCTGAGTGAGGGGCTCGGTCGCCCCATCAGTGCGAAAGTGTGGGTCCCAGGCTCCTTCCTCCCCCTTCCACGCTGCTTCCAGCTCAGGCTTTCTCTTCTGAGTTTTCCATCTTTCTCTAACCTAGTCCATTTCCAAGATCAAGGAAGGAAAAAGTGACCAAAATTGGCCATCTCTGAATCGGTGCAAGGGAAGCTGGGGCTGGTCCTCAACCTCCTCTCGCGTCAGATCCATGATTAACTCCCAACTGCTTCCCTGATCTTTGAAAGGCTTTTTATCACATCTGAAAATGCTTCCCAAAGGGCAAAAAACTCTCCCAGGAAAATGTAAGTGTTTTGATGAGTTAAGTGTAAATGAATCAAAGTCATATGGATTAAATTTCCCCTTAAATACGCTCAGGATTGACCATGAAGGACAAATGCTTTGGGACAATTTGGGCTGCAGGTGGGAGGGAGTAGAGAGCCTGGGGTATAACTTGGAACTTCCTCTGTTCACCTTAATGACAGGGTCATTTGTTTCATGGTGTGCACACCCCCAAAGTCCCAGGCCCCCTAGCTCAGGCTCCGTTTTCAACAAATGAACAGATCGTCTTAGGCTGGAACTTAATGAGACCTTGGAGGAAAGATTCAAGTCACCAAGGGCATCTTGTTTAGACTGCTCTTGCTGTGAGAATCTCTCTTTGAAAGGTGGTAAACTTGTTTAAGGGGGTAAACAACCTTGAACAAACAAATCAATATGTTCGTTCATTCAAAGAACATTTATTGAGCACCTAATCTGTGTTTGAAACTGCAAATGAATGGGTGGCAAGAAGGAATAAAACAAAATCCCAGCTTCTCTGCCCCCTCTTCCTCTGTCACGAGGTCATCTACCCTGCCACTAGTGTTCAATGGGTCTCCTCTCCTTTGCTCTCAATGACAAGCTCTCTGCTCTTAGGCTTTCAAACAGGTTTGGGGTATTTTCTCAAGACTTTGATTGAGGTTGACAACATGCTGGATCACAGATTGTCCACTCTTACATCTCACCAATGCACTGCTTGTTCATTACAACACATGCTCTGTTCCAGAACACTAAGGAGGTCTCTTAACTGGTCACCCCACTTCCCTCTTCCAATCCATCCTTCACCTGACCATCAGGACCTCAAATCTGATGACATTATTCTGCTGTTCAGAGAGTTCAGGCTCCCCAGTGTGTACTCAGTTACATCCAAGCTCCACAGTATGGTAGACAAGGTCCTCTATCAAACTTGGCCCTTACTTAGAATCAAGACTCATTCATTCCTATACTTTGTACTTCAAATTCTGACAAGGCCACAGTGCCCTTAGCTTCCATTCTCATGCCCTTCAATTTCTCATCTCTCTTTCCTTGTTCAACAGAATTCTCTTCTGGCTTTCTACGCTGTACTAGCTCCTGGGCCAGCTTCCTGAACTCTGTTCTCGGGGACAATGGTTGTATGAAATGGTAAAGTTTTTGCTCCATGAAATAAAATATGTTTCATGGTCAAAAATATTTGGGACGTGCCAAGTTAGAAAAGGCTCAAAAGGTTGAAGGGTTTCTCTAAGCCTTCACTGTATCTTCACTGTATATCCACTGGGGGGTCTCCAAGACCAAGACCCATATAGCCACTGAATCCTCTTTATTGCAAATACTTCTCTGTTATTTCTGGGAATATAGTTGAGGAAAATTTTCCTAGTAAGTGATTCATTCTAAAACTTTGAACAAAAATGTTGATCACTCATTTGAGAATATTTATTGAGTTTTTGTGCTAAATTGAAAAATAATGAGGAAATGAAGAATAAATGGAGTCTCAGAATGATGCCTGAAATATTTGTAATGTATAGACTTTTCCAGACATGGGCATGGACTTTTCCAGTCTGATTAAATGGGTAGAGAAGAAAGTAAATTGCATACTAACAAGTTACTGAGGAAGCACATTTTCGGAAGGGAGAAAAAATTCCTTTTCAGAGAGTCTATCAAAACAGCTGGTGTTGATGTTGCAGCTTGAGAAAGATGAAGCTCCCAGCCTGCTTATTCAACTCAGCCTCCAGAGTAGGTTTATTTGCAGATGGTGGTCTTCCCCAACAAAAATGTTGTTGTCTCCAAAACTCTATGGTTGGAAAATTTATGGTTCAAATATTTAAAAATCTTATAAGAAAGTAGGGTTATAAGAGTTTATGAGCAAGTCTATGCAATCTCTTAAAACCATTTAAGGAAAATATAACTAAAACACATATCTGACAAGGGATTAGTGTCTAGGATATATTTTTAAAACTCTCAAACCCCAGAGACAAAAATAATTCAATTAGTAAATGGGCAAAAAACATGAAGAGACACTTTGCCAAAGAAGATGTACAGATGCCAAATAAACATGTGAAAAAATGTTCAACATCATCAGTCCTTAGAAAAATACAAATGGGGCTGCCTGCGTGATGCAGCAGGTTGAGCACAGTGCTGTGGGGCTGTCCGCAGCCTCCGCGGTGCTTGTCCAATTTCCAGCCAGCCAGGGAGAAACCCACATGGCGTGGCAGACTTCTCCTGTCTCGCCCGCTGCTCCCCTCAGCAGTGTTTTCAGTCCGTCTGCCTGTTCTGCTCCCTGCTCTGTCTCTGGTGGATTCTCTCACCCTCTTGCGCCTCTGGCCTGTGCCCCAGTGCTTGTATAAATAAATAAATCTTAAAAAAAAATACAAACGATAAACACGACACTGTATCACTCTATACCTACCAGAATGACTAGAATAGAAAACAAGACCAACTCCAAAGACTGGAGAGCATGTAGAGAAACTGAATCATCCATTCACTCCTGGTTGGCATGTAAAATGGTGTTCTGCCTCAGAAAAAATAGTTGGCAGTTTCTCATGAAACTGTGCATGAATGTTCACAGCAGCTTTATTCATAATACCCCAAATCCAAATCTGGAAATAGCCCAGATGCTCTTCAGTGGGTGAATGGTGAAACAAACTGTGGTATATCCAAACCATGGAATATTATTTAGCAATAAAAAGGAACTAACTATTGATATATTCAAAAACTTGAATAAAACTCCAAAGACTAATACTGAGTTTTAAAAATGCAATCCAAATAGTTTAAATACTATATATACATTTACCTATGATACCTACCTTTACATGTTCTACTTATATGGCATTCTTGAAATGACAAAATTATGGGAATGGAGTATATATTAGTGGTTGAT